GTAACGAAATAATTTGGATATATCAACAAAGTTGAAATGGTAAATTGGCCACCGTAACGATTACAAAAGCTGACGTTTCGAGCGTTAGCCCTTCGTCATTCGCTCCGACGAAGGGCTAACGCTCGAAACGTCAGCTTTTGTAAACGTTACGGTGGCCAATTTACCATTTCAACTTTGTTGATATATCCAAATTATTAAAATACTTTAGTTGGGTATCACTTGTGAACAAGAGTGACCAAGACAGAATTTATCCTTAAAATGCCAATTCAGTATCTAGCAGACAAGTGATGTAAATGAAAAAATGTCACCGATCAGGGGATTATAAGTTGATCCAATAACAAATTCTCCGCTCCAACATCATATGAACTGTAAAGCAGACGGTAAGGAGAATAATTATTGAGACCTTGGGAGTGAAAGTTATACAACCTAAATTAAATCAAGAAATTCTCCATACTGTTCTCTACAAATTTCGTCTACTGTTGACAAAGAGAATTCGTTGAACAATCATTTCATTCATTCTCGTGACATCATCGTTGATGAAATCCTGGTCTTGGAGACGAATTTCAATTGCTTTGGATTCAAATGCGAAACTTCACCCATGTTGTCGACCTGAGATCTAAGATCTGAGATCTGAGATCTGGGTCAATTACGGTTACAATTTCCATTTCTTTGTATGCCCTTTGATTCTCTAAAAACAACTTTAGTTTGCTTATGGTTGGCATTCACTACTACTTTTACCAACACAGCAGTCAAACCTCTGCGTATGTCCAAACGTTTTAGAGGCTAGTTGGTATTTTTTGCGTGTTTTCGGGATGTCAAAACAACCACAAAAGTGAGTAAGTCGTGGTGTTTGAAAACCGCACAACTTTTTTGATAAAGCTCAAAACAAAAGCGTGAAGCAATGGGAAACCAGTAATCAAATCACCCTTGTGTACGAAGTCTTCAGTCTTCCTTTACCTATCACTGAGTGTTTTTTGTCTTCGCTTATCTAGCGCAACAGCGCTTGTTTCTTACGTTTTCTTTTGACATTTTACGCGGGAAATTGGCGCGCGGCCCGCCGAAATTAATCCCCTTACACATGCCCAACGTTTGACCGCTGCGATGCTTTTGCCATTGTTAACAATCGTTGGGGTTGACTTATTTTGGGCACCAGAGAGGAGACCTGACAGTCATGTATGTAGATGGTCAAAATTATTTCCTTACAGACTCTCCTGCTTTGGTCTGCGAATATGGACCTTTCTTCCCAGCAAGCAACCGTTGTTCGTCCCTGCACCGTGAGGTATCCAGTCTTCGTAATCGTCGTCTCCACCTACAGAACAAATTACATCCATCAGGTCCCATTTCAGTTGAGTGTTGAGAGAGAAAAAAAAAAAACCGATGTGATTTTAGCGGCCGATCAGAAGAGAGGAAAATACACGGAGCCAATGAGGACCGGCCCAAAGAGCAGAAAACACGAGAGAACACTACATTGCGGTTGGTCATTCGAGGATCATGCGCGTTTTCTAAACCAATCAGAAGATACCGTTAGCCCATGACAGCCCCTTAATAGCTACCACTCTACACCGAGAGGTCTCAACTGAATGGAGACCTTTCACTTCATTAGAGATCCTTAGATTCTTGAACGAGTGCAAGGGCCACGCGCGCAAACTAGCGTTATCTTGTCGAGAAAAACACTAAGACTGCCGACACGGTTGTAAGAATTCTCCAGAAATGTCGTAGTGGAAGAAAAAAACGGTACTGGAAAATAAGTAGTTTTAAAGTTTTCCATCATTGTCTCTCATAGAGAATGCAAGACACTTCAGAACGTTTAGATTTCTTCGTAACTCACTGAACACTTGAATTCAAATCCCGTACTCGCTGTCAAACTTTTGCTGCCGTCTTACGGTCTTCACTGTCCTGTGCTCTTCGGCAAGGCACTAGACTCTGATTGGTTAAGAGAATTTCGCGAGTTTTCTGGACCAATCCCACAGCACAGTTAACAGCAGGAAAACGCATGTAGCTAAGTTACGATTGGTTTGTTTTGCATCTGATTGGTCGAGAGTGTGGCGGGAGTTTTCATGTCCAATCACTGACCGTAGTAAACCGCGGAAAAGCGCAAGTGGCTCAGACGCGATTGTTTTCATCGCTTTGAATCTGATTGGTAGAGAGGGGGGTGCGTGATTTCTGGACCGATCAATGAGCGAAGTTTTGTTCCTAATTGGTTGAGAAAGTGGCACGTGTTTTCTGGACCAATCACAACACGCATCTCGTCCTGAAATTCCAGCGGTCTGTAGCACATTCTGTTCTAAGGCACGGCGCGAGGAGCTCTAAACGAAAACCAGCAATCTGTATCAACTTACAAGCTCTTTTGAGTACTTTCTCAAAGTCCACAGTGATAACCTGCCAAGCTCTTGAAGGTAAAGTAAAGCCCCACAAACTGAACCTCATTGTACTTCCACCCGGCTCTGTGACCAACCCAGTAACAGTGAAGTCGCGGTCTGTAAAAGTATACTTGAACCAACAGCCGCCCTCGTTCACTGAATACCTGGAAAAAAAATCACAACAATGTCTAAATTTACGTTATCTGGAATTAATTTCCACTTAGCATTTCCACTCAGCAGGTATTGTTATCAATACATCTACTCTACCAACAGCCTGATTCCAAGCATTCAGTTAGTACAATGAAACGCGTCAGTAAACGGTGCAATTGTTGCAGAGGAGTAAAAATACGAGAGAGGTTTGGCTCTGGTCGCGTTAAACGTAACCCGTTCCAGAACTCCTTCGTTTTCGCTTTGCCGCTATTCACGCGCCGTTCAATATTTCGCTTTGCTTAACTCTCTGAACGCCAGGAACTGGCAACTTCGTCAAATTTCGTCCCAGCAGGTTTTTCCTCTACGAGTCTCCTTCAGTAAATGAGGTAACAGCTTATGGTGTAGTATGACAACCTCGGCTGAAGTTATTTTAATCCCTCCTACTCTAAAATCGTTGCCTTTTGTCATGAATCTCCAAAAAAAATTAGAAGTGGATAAAGCGGCGATGTTATTCATCACCTGTTAACCTAACTATCAAATACAATGAATATGTGAAGTTCATATATTTCAAACTGCGGTATTAGATACGTATGATGCACGATCCTCGCAGTAGAGAGCGCTATTTGTGCAATAGCGAAAATCAGACTTGAAAAAAATCACGAGTTTACTACGAATCAACTTAACGGCCTGCTCCCAGTTGGCTTGTTAGCTCGGGTAGAGCGTTGCACTGGTATCGTAGAGGCCAGTGGTTCGAATCCCGTACAGGCCTGATTTTTTTCAGGTCTGATTTTCGCTATTGCACAAATAGCGCTGTCTACTGCGAGGATCGTACATCACACGCATCTAACTATCAAAATAACTCACATGAGCTGTTTCGTTGTAGAGCTGGAAGCTGGCACAGCCACGATCAAGTTACCATGATCACCAATGGAGTAATGGTGCGAGCCACTCAGAACCTAAAAATAACAAATATCATAAATGCAACGCTTTGCGATTGAGTTTTTACGGCTATTTTCGACTGGGTGTCGTAAAGCCAAAACCAAACAAATCACAACGACCAATCAGAAAACAAAATACCTTGAAGACCCAATGAAAAGCAACCAATTTGCCGAAAGCGCGGGAAAACGCGGGCGACCGAGTCGGGATTCGTTTCAGTTATGTATCTGATTTATTAAGAGAGTGGCGCGAGTTTTCTGGTCCAATCACAGAGCGACGTCAAGCGAAAACCTACACCCAAGTAATCACAACGACGAATCAGAAAAAAGAAACATACATTGCAGGGAGCCACACTGTACTCAGAGTAAAAAGAAGCGAACTCCGTGAAGCACAGTAAAACCTAAGTGACCCATGTCGCAAAAGACCACTTTTTGTATTCTGTCTGTGCTGTTTGTGACCTGTTTTATTCCTCGACGTCGTGTGAACGTAGAGGGAAAGCAAACGCATTATTGCCGTTTGAAAGAGAAGGGGCTGGGGAGACATCAATCCCGTCCCAATCTTTTCTCGTCTTTAGCTCAGGCTCTCGCTCGATCCAGAGAGAAAAACAAACTCCTTATAGTGAACAATTAGAATCCTTTGCAACCGTCATTAGATCTCGTCAAGTAACTCCCTCTGACGATAAAGCGCTGCGTGACGCGATAAATGATAGGCCGCAAAGGAGACCGGTCTTTACGTGAACGTACCTTGTTCCACGTGTACCCTCCGTCACGTGTCATCCACACGTCCACGTTTCTGTTCAAGGCACTACCCGGATGACCATGTGCAAGAATGATACCAACCGCGTTTGGAATACTCAAGGGGCCCATGGTAAACTGTACACCTCTGCTTCGACTGAAACGGTTGTGGATTTGAAGCGAACACTTCTCTCCTGGCTGATAGATTCACAATCAAAAATTATCATTCTTAATACAATAAAACAACTTTTTGCCCAGTACTCTGTACCACTGTGCTTGAAAATGATGCACGTACAGATGACTACTAACACACTGAGCCAACTTCCCTCTTAACCCTTTACACTCGAACATGAATATGTATGATCAGTACGCGTATTCTCCATACTGTTCTCCTCACATTTCTTAAGGCGTTGACAAGGAGAATTTGTAAACCAATCAAGAGCTTCTTAAATTGGTGATCAATTCTTTCATTTTCATGAAATTACTGTTTGATTAAGTCCTCATACTGCGAGGAAAATTTGGAAGCGGTCACTCGTGGAGGCGCGGTGGCCTCATGGTTGGTGCGCTCGACTCTGGATCGAGTGGTCCGAGTTCGAGCCCCGGCCGGGACATTGTGTTGTGTTCTTGGGCAAGACACTGTGAGAGTAATCCCACAGTGCCTCTCTCCACCCAGGTGTATAAATGGGTACCGGCAAATTTAATGCTGGGGGGTAACCCTGCGATGGACTAGCATCCCATCCAGGGGGGAGTAGAAATACTCCCAGTCGCTTCATGCTACAGAAACCGGAGTTAAGCACCAGCCCAATGGGCCACTAGGCTCGTAAACAGACTTTACCTTTACTGTTTGATTCAGTCTTCATACTGCGAGGAAAATTTGGAAGCCGGTCACTCTTATAAGTTAAAGGGGTAACGACCCCCCCTATCAAGCAAACCACTTCTAAAATCGAACAGTTTGCCAATAACTGTTTTGTCTCTAGGTCAAACATCGTTCAAAAACTTTCTTTGAGGAAGCCAATTTTCAAATTTCTCAAGCGTTCTCGACCACGCTCGTGGCCAGAAATCTCCCTGATTCATTTGTTTCGTGCCTTTGTCAAGCAACCATTGACAAGAACCCGCATGAGTTTAGCTCTACAGTCGCGAAAATCACTATGTTCCTGCCTGCTTTATGAACTGAAAAAACCGAGCAACTTATCTGGCACTTAGAGAGCAATTTTCAATCGAGTGTCGAAAGTTATCGGGGATCGCTTTGGTTTTACGTAACTATGCCTTGCGATTGCTTTAGAAAACTTGCGCCGTCCTCTCAACCAATCAGATGCAAAACGAAAAACTATCGCGGCTTGGTCGTCCACTTTTTCCCTCGCTTTATGCAGTTTGCTTGTTTCCACTTTGAGTTTTCATTGGATAATGATAATAAACCCTTTCTTCTGGTTGGTCATTGGTATTACTTTGTTTTTGGTATTACGACACTCAATTAAACACTGCTCTAATCAAGTTGTTGAATAGAACGTCGATGAACAGAGAACCATATCGGCTTAGTGCATAATTGAAAAACGAGGTACTGTTTAAATACCTCCAGGTTGACGTTCTTGCACTGTTCCTCTTTCAAGGGAATTGTACCCCACTCGCCACCACGGTTAAAACTAATCACTGTCGTTATACTGTTGTCTAGGTAGGTACAAAAGAAATATAGAACAAATAAATATCTAAATGAAATAAACGGTAAATTGGAATGATTGGAAATTTAGCAATGGACATTCCACGAAGTGACTCTTCTTGTCCACTATTTCCAGGTCGAATTGGAATTGGAATGTTGGCTTTTGTGAAGGAAGAAAAACCATTCGACCCGGAGAAAAATCATCGGGGCAAGGACGAGAACCAACACATGCGATACCAGGCCCAGGAATCGAACCCAGGCCCACCGTGGTTGGAGGCAAGCGCCCTTACCACTCTGCTAGCTCCNCCCATGGGTGTACGCTGCTGACGTGAGCAAATGCAAAGACTATTTTTCCGCGCGCGCTTGTTTTTTCTGGTCACGTAAGATTTGTTAAATAAAAGGGAACTCTTTAGCTACAATGTATCAATGTTATGTTATAAAACAAATGGTAAACACCACAGCGTACACTATTGAGTTATGGATGCACGCGGGAGGTTGCTAAGCACGAAAGAAGCGTAAGAGTCGCTCGAGGCGATAGCCGAGAGCGACTCTAGCTCCTTGAGTGCTTAGCAAACCTCACAAGTGCATCCATAACTCAATAGTGTACGCTGTGGTGTTTACCATTTGTTTTATAACATAACATTGATACATTGTAGCTAAAGAGTTCCCTTTTATTTAACAAATTTTACATGACCAGAAAAAACAAGTGCACGCGGAAAAATAGTCTTTGCATTTGCTCACGTCAGCAGCGTACACCCATGGGCAAATGGGGGACGCTAAATTGACCAGTCAGAGCGCGTGCTTTACTTTGGCTATGTTATAAGAAAATTATGTATGTATGTATGTATGTATCTTCAGGCTGTATAACATATCAAGATACCTACCATTGTTCATGCGACTTGTTATGTAAGTGCCTCGCATTGATTCCACTTTGTAGAAATCGGTCACCTCCAAAACGTTTGTGTACTGACAATCAAACAAAAGAAAGATCCCCTTAGTATTTGGCTACAAGCGGATTGACTCTTTCCCTCCCACGATCTACCCAATCAAGTCTCTTCGTTGCCTGCCAAAGATTCCTTATAATTCCAGCTCCAAGGACTTGGCGTTCAATCAAAGTCTCCTCGATGTTATTTTTGCCAAATACTTTCCCGTCCGGCTCTCCCACTCTGTGAATAACTACATATTATTATTCCAGTATGACGTTATTTTACCATATTAGGGCAAAGGAACGTGCAAAATATGCCACGGCAATACACTGGAGAACAGGGCAAAAATACGGACAGAAACGATCTGCATGATATTTGATTTCTTTTTCAATTTTCTATACATAATTTTCTCATTTCGTTTTCTTTCTTCTTTTACACACTCCTTAGCTCAGTTGAGACCGGAAGAGGTTTCGAATAGTAGAAGCCCAAAAGGCAATAAAGTGAAATAAAAGTGAAATAAAAGATCCTTCACTCGATGATTTAACATATAAAACTTGTTCTTTACTCGTATTTTGCTCGCTGAAAATGCGACGCAACGCGCACAATCTCCACGTGTACTATATATTCAACCATCGAATACGGTGTATTAAATAATTTCCTTAGAATATCCTAATTTTAAAAAGGGCACCTTATCAACTTACCACATGGTTTCGGAGCGATTCACCAAACACAATTCCATCGGCATCTGAGGTGTACAACACTCCTCTGCCAGTATCTGAAATTGAAATGTCGTTATTACCACCATTATTATCAACAACAATATTATTGTTATTATTATTAATATTATTATTATTATTATTATTATTATTAATATTAATATTAATATTAATATCATATTCGGAATTTAGCAGAGGACAATCTACGAGGTGGCTCTTCTTGTCCACTGTTTCCAGGTCGAACTGGAATCTGTGGTGTTGGTTTTAGTGGAGGGAGGAAAACCGGAGGACCCTGAGAAAAATCCTCAGAGCTAAACGACAACTAACAACAAACTCAACTCACATGTCACGACAGGTCTGGAACTGAATCCATGCTCCTGCCACTGAGCCATCCCCCCCCCCCCCAAAGAAACGCAAGAATATTACTGTAACATACGGCAATCACCATCGCTTGTGACATTTAAATCCAACCTGAAGACTCATTTATTCGATCAAGTCTTTAATTAGTCAGAAGGTTTTTGCTTAATACTTTTCGTACGATGTTTTAATCATCCTTATCTTATTTTTTAATCCATATAGCTGTACAGCGCTCTGAACTCTAGCATGGGAGCTATAAAAGTCTTATATTATGTCGCAGAGAAATCAACTGAATGCTACATTCTAATCAGGCAGCACAGGGCGAAAACCGTAACCTGTGAGCCATGGAGTAAAAAAATAAATGTACATTAACTAATCCTAAAAAGCTTTTCCGTTGTGTCTACGGTCCTCCTTCTAACAGAAAGTTAAACTGCCACCTTGAAAGTCCAGGCAATACTCAGCGTGCCCGAGAGCACTGCCCTCTGCATCTTTCGCAGTACGTCTGTGCTTCTGCCTCCCACCAGCTCGCGCATCATGACATCCAGCTCCCGTGACCACCCCCCGAGGGCATCCATAATGATGTTATATTGCTTCACCTCGTAGCCTGGGAACTGCTGCCTTAGTTCCCAGCGAAGGGGTCCGTACTTCAGTGTCTTCTCTTCATCCTTTCTTGTCCGATTGTTAACCCACGGGCAGCTCATTTCCAGCGTCACAACTCTCTTGCACATATGATTTACAATGCGTGCATCCACCCTATTGCATCTGACCTCTTGTTGATCAGCATATATAGGGACATCCCAATAAGCTTTAACATTCTCTGACTCATACACGGGCTTCGGCTTGTCGGGTGAGTACCAGGGTGGTATCTCGTCTATAAATCCCTCATCATACAACAGTTGGTAAAACAGTACCTTCAGTGCTGCGTCGTGTCTAGAGAGATACTTGCTCTGGGCCAGCGCACTGCATCCTGACAAGATATGTGCCACACTCTCTGGAGCCTTGCCGCATAATCTGCACCTCACCTCGCCTTCTCCGCTTGTGTGGGTCTTCTGACTCGTGTATACTCGCGTTGGCAATAGCTGCTCGTATAGCTCGACGAGTCCAGCAATTGTGTGTGATGGGCAGTTCTTCCACTCTGTGAGCCACCAGAAACACCCATCGGCACTCAAACTCTCATCCTCCAGCCTAGTAGTCACTAGACGCCCTTGCCA